GGAATCTGGAGCAGGGACATTCGCTTTAAGAGCAACCTTCCTCTGACGGAGATCAACAAGATCCTGAAGAACCTGGAGAGCAAGAAGCTCATCAAAGCCGTCAAGTCTGTGGCTGTGAGTTCAGCTGATCAATAACCACTGATCGATAGCCACCGATCGATAGCCACCGATCGATAGCCTCTGATCGATAGCCACCGATCGATAACCCCCGATCGATAGCCTCTGATTGATAGCCACCGATCGATAGCCACCGATCGATAGCACCGATTGATAACCCCCAATCGATAGCCATTGATCCATAGCCACCGATCGATAGCCACTGATCGATAGCCGCCGATCGATAGCCATTGATCGATAGCCATTGATCGATAGCCACCGATCGATAGCCACCGATCGATAGCCATTGATCGATAGCCGCCGATCGATAGCCACCGGTCGATAGCCATTGATCGGTGTTGTCTGGGTTCAGGTCGAGCTCAGTCTAAACTAACGCGGTCGCTACTGACGGTGAACCCGTGAATAGAACAGCTGAGCGGTCCAGCAGGACGTCTGGACAGCACCAGCAGAACATCTGACGGTTCTACACAGCTGGAGATCAAACGCTGATGTTCTGACCAACAATAATACGACTCCTTCAAAATAAAACCAGGATGGATAAAGTGTGTTAGAAGTACAAAAAGACTTCTGGGAAATGTTCAGAAGTGATCAGAACATGGTGTCGGCGGGTCCGGACCAGACTGATCCCGGCTGTGTCTCTGCAGGCTTCCAAGAAGAAGGTCTACATGCTGTACAACCTGCAGCCCGACCGCTCCGTCACTGGCGGCGCCTGGTACAGCGACCAGGACTTTGAGTCCGAGTTCGTCGAGGTTCTCAACCAGCAGTGCTTCAAGTTCCTGCAGAGCAAGGTACCGAGCTTGACTCAGACTGGCAGGCAGCGGTCCGGTTCTGCTGCTGGATGCTGCTGGATGCTGTGAAACGTGTCTGTGGCCAGCAGGGGGCAGCACAAGCCCACGCAGCAGCGGGTCGCTGTGCGTGTGGTGGAGGTTCTGCTGCTCTGCAGGTGTGTTAGTGGGTCAGGTGAGCTCACCTGTGTGTTCTGTGTCCAGGCTGAAGCTGCGAGGGACAGCAAGCAGAGTCCGATGGTCCAGAGGAACAGCTCCTTCGCCACGTCGCACGAAGTCTGGAAGTACATCTGCGAGCTGGGAATCAGCAAGGTGACGTCACGCCTCCGTCCACCAATCACACGCTCTCCCTGCAGGTTACCTGTGAGCTGCTGACCTGGGTTAGCCTTTAACCCAGGTAGAACCCAGAAGAACCCGGTCAGGTGTTGGTTTCTTTGGTGACTCTGCAGACTGAAGCTGCTCAGGTTGAACCGGTTCCAGCTGCAACAGTCTGATCAGCAGGTGTGTGTGTCCAGGTGGACCTGTCCATGGACGACATCGAGACCATCCTGAACACGCTGATCTACGACGGGAAGGTGGAGATGACGGTGATCGCGGCCAAGGAGGGCACGGTGGGCAGCGTGGACGGGCAGATGAAGCTGTACCGAGGCGTCAACGCCGTCATCCAGCCCACCGGCCTCGTCAAGACGCCCTGCGGACTCTGCCCGGTAACAGCCCGCACCACACACCTGAGGCCGCTGTCAGAGCCTGCCCTCGGCTGATTGGTCTGTCTCTGCAGGTGTTCGAGGACTGTCACGAGGGCGGGGAGATCTCTCCGTCGAGCTGCATCTACATGAGCGAGTGGCTGGACTTCTGACCGCCGGCCTCCACGCGCCGCTCCTCTGCCTTCTTCGTTTTTATTTAATAAACCGGCTGCTTCCTGTTCTGACTCCACTGATCCGTGTTTCTGTCGGGTCGTCCTCCGTCGGTTCCTTTGACTTCAGTTTCAGGTGTTTCACAGAGAACAGCACGTCTGAGGTGTCGGTGTCGGTTCAGGCGACTCCGGTCCGGTCTCAGATGACCCGTTTGTGGTGCTTCCTGACGCGGACGCCTTGGGTCGACCAAACGATGATGAGTGTCGGCGCTTCGTGACACTAATCTGGTTTCCTGCAGCTCCGAGTCTCCGTTTAGAAGAATAATTACATTGAAATGGTGCAGCTTCATCTGTATTCATTTATGGAATAAAGAAAAGACAAACTTCAGCTGCTGGAATAGAATTAGAGCCACTGAACGTTTTAACACAAGCTGTTTGTGCAGAACAGAACCAGAACAGAACCAGAACAGAACCAGGAGACAGAAAATAAACCAGAACAAAACGGGTGACCAACTGAGAAACACACTGATCTTCTAGACTGGTCCTCTGGACTTTGTTCTGGACTCTGGTGGATCGATGAGCATCAGCAGCTCCGGTCGCTCCATCAGAGCTCGTTAAGCAGCTCGTTATGCAGCACTAATGGCCTCTCTGCTGACGCTCAGCAGGATCCTGTTACAGCGGCGCCGGGGCTTCCTGTTGTTACCCACAATGCCCTGCAGCTGCCCAGCAAACGCCCAAGGCTGCAGCATTAACGTTCCCACAACGTTAGACAACATCACCGACAAGTTCTAAAGACAACGTTGCAGTCACATGTTCAAGAACCTTTTAGGAAGATTTTCATTTGCAGCAATGTTCCTTTAAAGTCAATCTAACGTTCTAGCGTTCAGAGAACGCTGTCAGAACGCAAAAGATGGTCTGTGACAGTGCAGGAGGAACGTTCAATGTTTTCCAGATGTTATCAAGGCCTCAGACGATAGAACGTTCTGGTAATCTGCTGTATTGAAGGTGGAACGTTTGTCGTAGAACGTTCTCCTACAACAATAACAAAAGAACGATGTTCTCCGTGAAACATTCAGAAACGTGTTCAAGATGTTACCTCAGATGACGGAACGTTCCTCTAATGTCATGTACTAGCAAACGTTCTGGCTGCAGCGTTCTGGGGGTGTTCTGAGGATGTTCTGGGGATGTTCTGAGGATGTTCTGGGGATGTTGTCGATGAACACATTGTAGAATCTATGAAACGTTCCACCACAGGGAGAACGTTTAAACACAACGCTGTGACAACGTTATCACCAAACATTTTTGGAACATTTTCAGTTTTCCTGCGTTTGAGGAGAACATTCTGGAACCTAAAAGAAAACTTCCAGCTGAAAACACCAGCAGAACTTTGCAGAACTTTCTCAGAGTGTTTCTGAACTCAGATATTGTATCCGCGGAACCGCTCGGCTCGGGTTTCCCTGTGACGGAACCAGACAGATTCTCTCCATGATTGTTCTGACGGAGCAAAGCTCAATCCACCAGGGAATGTATTGGACGGGTTCTTCTGTGTCCAGGAGGAACCCGGATACGAACTGCAGACAGAAGCAGAACTTCTCTGGTTCAGGTTTTATTTTGAGGTTTAAACGTTTTTCACAACAACGAGAATAAAAGTGTTTCCGTCCAGAAGCTCGTTTAGACGATCAGTGGATCAGAACAAACCAAACCTAACCAACTATGACGTCGTTCAGAATAAAATAATAAAATATGAAGCTTCTGATTCACACCTGAAGAATCCAGAAAAGCTTCTCTAAATGTGTTTTACTTCCTGAATCACTGTGGAGCTATTAAGCTCATTAATTATTAATCAGCGCTGGTGTGGCCCCGCCCACAGCATGACGTCACTCCGCTACATGCCGCCCCCTGCAGGTGCTTCAGCCCACCTGCAGCAGGAACGTTTAGGAACAAAAAGTTCACCTTCAAGACACAAACTGGTTCGATTTTCTCACCGTGAGCCGGTTCTGGCACCTCTGACAACAGAACCGAACCAGGGAGCCCAGTCGAACCGTCTGCTCTCCTGAGGATGAACCCTGAGCTCCGCAGCGCCCCCTGCAGGACTCAGGTGCCCCCACTCTGTGCCCTCAGGTGTCCCTGACCGCAACGTGAAATAAGAAACAAAGCGAACCGGGACCGGTCCGGTTCCGGTGCTCCTGAAGCTGAGCCTGATGCGGCGGAGGGCGGAGCCGGGGGGAGGAGGGGGGCAGTGCGGATCTTTCCCGTCATTCCCTGCAGCAGCAGCCGCGGCAGCCCCCTCCTCCCTCCGCCTCCTCCCTCCGCCCTCCGTCCGTGTCTCTCGGTATCTCCGGTCTGCGGACTCCGGTTCTCCGCTGCAGCTCGACCCTCGGTGCATCCGTGAGCAGGTAGGTTCCTCCGGTTCTCTTCCTGCCGTGATTGGAGCTCCGGAGCAGCGACGGCTCCGGAGCCTCCGCTCCCCGCGAACTCGGCTCCGCGTCGGCCAGGCTCCGCCGATCCTCCCGCTCAGAGGCACAAAGTGTCCGGAGGCCCGGTCCTCCCTCCGCAGCCGAGCCGCGGCTCAGCCCGCGTGTCCGCCGCTCGGCCGCCGCCCTCCGCCGCCGCCAGAGGCCGGAGGATGGAGGAGAATAACGGTGCGCCATGCAGCGGAGACAGGCGTGGCCGCGGAGGAGGAGGAGGAGGCCGGGAGGCGCTGATGGGAGCGACCGGGACAATAAACAGGCGGCGGATCTGCGCACGTCTGCGGCGGTTTTTTTTCCAGCGATGGTTCGGGCGGGATGAGTCCGGCCGACAGCTGCTGTGTCCGGCTGAGAGCGGCTCCGCGACCCGCTGCGCAGCTCCGGGAGAAAATGCTGGAAAACAGCAGCAGGCCGCGGAGAGACGCGGCCTGGCAGCCGGGACGCTGCGGGAACGTTCCTGCAAACACGTTAGTAACGTTCCCTGCCGGTTCCGCTCGGCAGAGCCCGGTTCTGTCAGGGCCGGTTCTCCCCGAAGGCTCAGCGAACGTTGTTTCAACCAAACAGACTCGGAGATTCAGCAGACACTCTGATATTTGGTTGCAGAAACGTTCTGGGAAGGTTCTCTGAAGCCAGGAGAGTTCTTAGGTTTCTCTAACGTTCCCCTAACGTTCCCAAACGTTCTGTCCTTCATAGGTTTCAGAAGCGTTGCGCTGAAGGTTCTCTCATGGTTCTTGTTTTCAGTGTTTTCAGACGTTTTATTGAACAAACAGTCCACAAACTAATGTTCTCCAAACATCTACAGAACGTTCCTGCAGGGTTAGCCTCCACAGAAGTGCTTCAAGAACATTAAAACAACGTACATGAATATGAGAAATCACAGGGAACGTTCTGGGGCTAACGTTCTAGACTCAGGTGAATCTTAGTGTTCTAGTCTTCTGACATTCCCCTAATGTTCCCAAACGGTTCTGACCGTTGTTAGAGGAGTTTAGCTGAAGGTTCTTGCATAGTTGCATAAATACATCCAGGAAACGCAATAAAGGTTCCTGTGTCTGTTTGCCTCCACAGAACGCCTGGACAACGTTCCCCGAAGGTTCTACTGTAAAACAAGGCCCCTTGGTTTAGAAATCAGAACGTTCCCGGAACATTACAAAAACAGAACTTAAGGTTCTCTAATGGTTCTAGAAGTACGTTCAGGAAATGTTCATTGAAAGTTGCTCTCTGTGTGTTTACAATCTCAGAGCGTCTGGAGAATGTTCCAGAAAGGTTTCTCTCAGCTTTACTGAGAACATTCAATTCCATGAACAAAAATATCATCAAAACATTGAGGGAACGTTTTGGGAACAATGTTGTGACGTTCTCCTAACGTTCCCAGTCATTGCGATGTTTTTAGAACATTCCCTCAAGCGCTCGACAGAACGTTCTCTCGTGCTTACATTAATGTCTTTGGGGAACGTTCTCTATCTGTTCCCGTGTGGTTCCTTTTACCTCCACTCGATGTGGGAAAATGTTGTTTTAAGGTTTTTTATGTTTGAGAAAATCCTGGAGAAGGAAGATGGTGTAGAACTGGTTTTGGACTGGTTAAGAATTGGTTTTGGACTGACTTGGTCCTGGTTCTGGACTGGTTTCCAGCTGGTCTGGACCTGGTTCTGCTGACACTAACTGTTCCTCGTCGCTGCTGAAAGAACAAACAGATAAAACTGACGCACATTTATTCACACGAACAGACAGAACAGATTAAAGCGCTGACTCGGGTCAGGATCAGGACAGAACAGAACCGGCTGGTGGTTCTGACCTCCGATCAGGGCAGCAGCTCGTGCAGTCGGGTGGAGTCGGATCTCCAGGAAATGACTGAATAAATCCAATAACTCCACCCGCCTCCCAGTAGTGAGCTCATTCTGCTCAGACTCTCGTCACCGTCCCGATCTGCTTCTGTGTCTCGAACGCCTCACGCCCCTGAACGCCTCACGCCCCTGAACGCCTCACGCCCCTGAACGCC